ACCCAGACTATGCTTTTCTCCCTGTACTGGGGCCATTTCTCCTCCCACAGGGGTTGTCCATGTAGTGCAGGTTCCAGAATTTCATTTCCCTTTTAGGCTGAATGACAGCCCCTTCCATTCAAGTCCCCATGGAGAAGTCATGTTCTTGTCCTGGGCTGTATTTTTTATTAGTATGTCTGAGGCTCATTTTAAAGGTTTAAGCTAAAATCTTGACTTTTTTTTTTTTACAAGAACTGATGGTTGAGCCATGTTTTATGCATCCTATTTTCCTATAATGGTTTTTGCACATTTAAGTGTAAGATTTTCATCGATTCCGTGTAGATTTTGTCCTGTCCAATATGACAGAGACAGATACAGAAACTGCTTTTGGTTCCTGTGACTGTCGGTCATGATTTTTGCCTGGCCTGGCCTGAGTGACCCCTGGAGGTGGCTAGGGCACGCCCTGCATGCCTCACGGTGTGTCTCAGGGTCACTGGTATGAGCTCTTGGCCACGTCTGGTCCCCGCCCCTTCCTTCCTGGCTCTTCCCCTTCTCCCTGCATCCTGGCCAGCAATGAGAGGAGCAGCTGTCTGCCAGTGGCCCTTCTGCCTGGAACCTGCCCTCATGGACTGAAGCCACTTTAAATTGTGCGTCAGACATTCTGTCCCAACCCACAATCCGCCAGCCTAAAGGCATCCGGTCTTGTTTCTTTGTGTGTAACTACTGGAGGGCTGGGTGGGTTTTATATGGTACTTCAAGTCCTTTTGGGTTGAAGGCCAGTGTGATGGGCCCCAGCCATGCCATCTTGTATGTTGGCTTTGGGTTTGAGACATTCCTCCTGGGGTCCTATATTCAGCTGTGGCCACATAAGGACTCTATTCTCCCTCTGGTCCTGTGTGTCCCTGTCTTTCTTTCCTGGACACCAGCAAGCCATCTTCCTCTCGGGTCTGCAGACTTGCGCAGGTCCACCCTGCTGTGCCAGGCCTGAGGTGAGATGGGACAGGAGGGTACTGTGCCCACTGTATCTGTAGTAACAGCATGTGGCTTACTCACCTGTAGCGAGGTTGTGGGTGCTTCCTGTAAGCATTCAGTTCCTAATGGATAACTTTTTTTACCCTAGAGCTGGGGATCAAACCTGGGCTTTGTGGGTGCTGGGAAGTGCTCTGTACTTGAGCTACAGCCCCGCTCAGGACTTATGTTTGGATTTGTGGTGGTTCCTCTCTCTTTGGACTCACAATAGCTAGTCTGGTCAGTGTGACCCATCTGGTTTTTGGTCTTGGACAGGTGTCTGTGTTGTACCCGGAAGGGAACATAAGGAAACCACAGGAGCATTGTTGGCTGGCTCAAGAGAGCCCATAGTTGTAAGGGTGCTTAGATCCTGGTTGGTCAAAAATGTTGTAAACCGGGCATTACAGTACACATTTATAATCCCACACTCAGGAGGCTGGGGCAGGAGGCTTGCACATTTGAGATCATCCTGGACTACATAGTAGATCCTGTCTTTAAAACCAAAAGAACAAACAAACAAAACAAATTGACAATAGTAGTTGGTAATTTTCAAGTGATTTTTATTTTCTCCTCTGGAGAGTGTTCTTTGAAAGACTACTACTTGAGAGTCACAAAACAAGTATTCTGTTTCTCCTCTTGGCCTGAAATATTGAGAGCTATTGAAGGAAAATAGCTGATTCTCTCTTCACAAGCCTGAGAAGAGCTGGCTGGGATGGGAACAGAGAAGGAGATAGTGAAGAGAAATAACTGCCAAAGCCAAAATTTGTGCCTGAAAGTTCCAACTGTTAATCCTCTGGGCTGGTTATGCAATTATATAGTTTCTTTCAACAAACTCTTTACTTAGTTTTTCCTCAAACATAGTTTAAGAAGAGTTCCTGGATGAAAATAATAATTTATTGTTTTTGTATTTGTTATAGCTTGTATCTAGATGTTCCCCAAAGATTCCTACGGTCATAGGTGGGGCTTTTCAGAGGTGGCTGGATCTAGAGTGTGTGATACTAGGATCAAGGGTGTGTGATTACTAAATCAAGTCCACTGATTGGTTTGGCACCACCCTAAACCTGGTAGCCTACATACAGTATACAAGGGGCAGAAAGATGTTGTTAAGGCCCCTTGCTTGCTTTTGGTGTCTTCTGCCTGCCATGAACTGTTTCTCCTCTGCGATGCCCCTCTGCCATGGGCCACTCTGCCTTGGGGCCAGTGGAGTATGGACTGAAACATCCGATAACTGAGAGCCAAATAAACTTTTCCTTCTTTAACTTTGGGTGTCAGGTATTTTGTCTCAGGAATGAGAAAAGTAACTAAGACAATATTTTCTAGAATTGGAGCAGGTAAACAGGGCTAGCCACAAATATATCAGAGGAAGTAGACATGACTCACTTTCCCCTTGTGACTTCCTACTTTGCCAGGAGGCTCCTGGGCCAGCGGCTGAAACCCTGAGAATTCCAGCCTGTGTCCAGACCAGCGTCCAGGTTCTCAGCCCCTGTCCTAAGCTTGTAGGCACTGCCTGTCCTGTCCTCAGCTCATCTTCCTTCTGGAAATGCCTATGTCCAGGTTTATCCTGTTGAGAGGCAGGGCTGTGACGAAGGGGGGCTGTCTTAAGACCTCATCCACACTTCACTGTAAGGCCACCTATGCTGTGAGGGGACTGGGGCTTCGACCAAGGAATTCAGGAGAGAGCAGCAAAACCAGTGCTGGGGATCTCAGTACAGTGTGAGTTTGGGGAGGAGGCTGGAGGCCTCGCAGACTGGGCTGGTATCTTTTTGAGAAGAGTGCCCAGAGCGGCACCAGGAGTTCGGTGCCCAAGCAGCAGCAGGCCAAGCAGATCCAGAGACCGGGAGGACAAAGCACATTAAATTAGTTCCCTACCAGGGCTTAGCAAAGGATTATTGACCAGATGGGGAGGGGCTGAGAGTCCAAGTCCCCTTTCGCAAGTTCCTTCCTTATATGGCTGATGATGATGGAAAAATGACCGGCTTCTGAAGTCGGATTGTTTTAGGACTTCTTCATACTGATTAAAACAGTATGAAGTTTTTCATACTTCATACTGATTAAAAGTTTTTGAGCTGGGCATGGCTGTGCACACCTCTCATCCCATGGAGGCTGAGGCAGGATGATCTCTGGGAGTTCAAGGCCAGCCTGGGCTACAGAGTGAGACTTTGTCTCAAAAAACAAAACAAAACAAAATGAAGAAAGCAGACTTGTTTTGGAAATTTGGCTGTTAGTTCTCTAATCCCGATCTCTCAGAAGTAGATAAACAGTTCAGTGCAGTTTAGAAAGTCAGCATGAGAAACCCCATTTGATTTTTTTTTAAATTAATCTTATTGGCACATTTGTTTGTAGGGAATTTGTACCTCTACATAATATATCTGGATTCTACCCTATTTCATTCTTAGCCTGGACTGTGAGGCCGACGGCGGTCTCTTGTGGTTCTTATTTAACAGTTTACAATCTCGGGTTATGATATTTGTATGGATGACTTGCAGACATGATCTAATTAGATATAAACAGAATTTGGTACGTGTTCTCTATATGGCTTTTTTTAAATTTAAAAAAACACATCTTTGCCCAGCACGATGACACACAATTATAATCTTAGCTACTTGGGGGCTGAGGCAGGAGGGTTGCAAGTTCAAGCCCAGGCTGGGCAATTTAGCAAGAATTGGTCTTACAAGTGAAATTTTATTTATTTATTTATTTTTGTCTTTTCTTCCGGATCCAGGAATTGAACTCATGACCTTGCGCTTGCCAGGAAGGAGCTTTGCCGCTGAGCTAAATCCCCAGCCCCACAAGTGAAATTTTAAAAAGGGCTGTCGATAAAGGTTGGTGGTAGAATGCTTGCTCAGAGTGCACAGGGCCTGCCTGGGCTCAGTCTCCAGTACCATAGAAAAGAAAGTGAAAAAAGAAAGAAAAAGAAAAATTCACCAATCCTATCTAGGTGGTAAAGCTTATTCTGCTAACAATTTGGCAATATTATAAGGGAAGATCTTACTAAATTTTCTGAATTTTTCCTTTCTTCTTCCTTCTTCTCCCCCTTACCCTCTTCTCCTCCTCCTCTTTCTTTTTCTCCTTCTTTTTCTTCTTCCTGGCCCTAGGCATTGCACTCAGGGCCTAGCACAGGGTAGGAAAATACTTCCCAACTAAGCTATACTCCAAGCCTTTTTAATTTTTTTTTTTTTTCTAATACTAAGAATTGAACCTTCATCAGTACAAGGCCATTGTACTGAGCTATATCCCAGCCCCTTTATTTTAAATTTTAAGACAGGGTCTCGCTAAGTTGCTACATTGTCTAGCCTGGGCTCAAACTTGCAAAATCCTCTTACTTCAGCCTCCCAGAGTGCTGGGATTACAGGCATTGCCAACACTCCTAGCTTAAAGTTTTATTTTGAGACTGGGTCTCCAGAAATTGCCTAGACTGGCCTTGCACTTGTGATCCTCCTGCTTCAGCTTTCTGAGAATTGGGATGACCAGGTACGCTGCATTTTTAAAGCATCTGTGTATAAAGCAAGATGCAGTAAACAAATAAACTGGAGTCAGACAATTTTTATGGAGCCATTAGCAATCCATCCACCTTATCCACCTCGCAGGACTCAAAAGCAGTTGTGTAAACTGTGTCAGGATTGTCAAGTCCTAGATATTTTTATCATATAATAGGTTTATTAGGTTCCTACATCATTCTATCTGGAATTTGGCAAATTATACATTTTTCACAAACTTAACAAGTTGCACTTATATTTCTACACTACCAGGTGTGATAAGAAATATGATGAATGTGTAAATGTAACAAATTTTAATTACAAGTGGCCATGAATCCTTCCCTTGCTTCCAATATACTCATCCTATCTTTCTTGCCACTTTTAAAAGCAGCTGTGATGTCTTTACTTGTGCTGTTCTGGCTGCCTTGATGTCCTAAATTGACTCAAAATGTTTCCCTTTCATGGTTATTTTGACTGCGGAAGAGCCAAGAGTTGCACGGTGCCAGATCTGGTGACTAAGGTGGATAAGGACGCAGGGTCATGTTTTTACAAGCTGCCTTTCTGATGATGGTTCTTGGCAGCAGCATTCACCAGATTTTTTACCACACTTCATAAAGGCACTCAGGGAAGAGGACTCCAGAGCTGCTTCAGAAAGTGGCAAGAATGATGCGATGAGTATGTTCAAAACAAAGGGACGATTGTGAGGGGGGTTAAGGGCCATGCGTCCTTTACTGTAATAAGTATTTTAAATGTAAACACTAAGATATATTCTACCCCTTGCTCTCTACCCCAGGAAGTCAGGAAGAGCACACTCTGCTCTGCTCAGCATCTGGGGCCTTGTTGCCCAGCTCCTGCAGAAAAGGTTGCTGCAGGTTTTGTGTCCAGACACCAAGTGTGAAGGAGCACAGTGGCCACAGGATGGCAGCACGTTAAAGAATGAAGGATCGCGCACTTGCTGTCCTCGGATTTTGAGAAATCTCTGTGAACGGAGAAGAAAACCTCCAATGGAAGCTCTGTGTCTCTCACTGGAGTCCAGAAGAGGGCAATGGAGGTAAGTAGCCGGTTCCAGACCTCAGGGATGGTGAGGAGTAAAAGCTGGGGCTCTGTGTCCTTAGATTTCAAACCAGCACCAGACATGATTCCTCCTCCTAACCAGTGTGTGGGAACATGTGGGGATTTTTCGAGGACTACAATGCCAAATGATAATTTATGCATGGCACCTAGTATCCATATGTAGCAGTGACACAATATACTTTGGGAAGCTTTGCCTACTGTATAAAAACCTCTCAGTTATGTACATGTGGGGGGTGTGTGTGTGTGGTACTGAAGACTGAAACCAGGGTGCTCTACTACTGAGTTACATCCCCAGTCCTTTTTAGTTTTTATTTTGAGACAGGGACCACTGTGTTGCTCAGACTGGCCTCAAACTTGTGATATTCCTGCTTCAGTCTCTCAGGTAGTGTGTTTATTTGTATTGACTGATTGATTGTGGTACCACTGAGTTCTTTCCCCAGTGCCCATGATTCGAATCTTTGGATGAATCATCAAAACACTGCAGTGATTAATTTCAGCACCCTCTTTGCCTTGTCATCTATGACTGGGGCTAGTTTCCGTTATCAAACAAGTGAGTCAATGTTTGTTGAAGACCTGCACTTGCATGACTGCCCTGGTTGAAGTGAGGGGAAGCAGAGGACCTGTTCCCAAGTGCAGAGGGCCCATCCCCAGCTGTAGGCTAGTGCTGCAGTCTGTGCCTGGGGTGCCCTAAAAGGCAAGATCCTAGTGTTACAGGCAGCTGAGTTAGAGAGAAATATTATAGGCAGTCAGACAGGGCCAGGTCCTCGAAGGAGCCAATATGAAAGGCAAGATAACATACCTGTGGGCCAGACCTCAAGACAAAGGACTAAACAAACATACCATCTTACCTCCCAAGGGATGGACATCTGGGATTGAAGAGTCTCTGACCCAGCCCCTTACAGGAAAAGGCCCTGTTCTGTATTCATGCCTGCTTGCTACATGACGTGCTTCCCCATTTGATCTCAATTTAATCACTTCTACCTGAACAATTCTTATTGGCTGACCATAGTTTTGTCCATTTTCCCCTATCTTGGGACCTCCTCACCTCGTGTTTTTGCTCTATAAAAGTCCTCAGGAAAGACAGATTTGAGGGGTAACACACTTGGGCCCCCCCTTCTGTCCCTGTCTTAGACAAAAACTTTCTTTCCCTCAATAAATATATTCTTCTCTTAACCTCTGTTGTTCCTAAAATTCATTCTTTGATTTTAGAGAACACGAACTCATCCCAGATATCATTCAGGTTGGGATTTTTCTTTTCCTGTATCACTAGGTCCTGTGTTATTACAGACAGCTAAGTAAGGTAGAAATATTATAGGCAGTCAGATAGGGCTAGGCACTTGAAGGAGTCAGTGCGGAAGAGAGAACACATTACAACTGTGCCTGGAGGCGCATTCGTTGAAGGCCAGGCTTCAAGACAAAAATGGAATGACCACACCTACATACTTCCCTGAGGGATAAACAGTATACTATAATTGATATGACCTGGTCCAACAAAGTCTAGATAGGCATCAATCAGTCAATCTGGTGGGTGACCAGGACATCCTGACCCATCTCTTCCAAAAAAATGTCCTTGTTCTTTCCATGTACACTTGCTTTGTGACTTGCTTCCCCATTGGGGAAGTGGCTAGACTTTTAGTCTTATTGGTTGATCATAGTTTTGTCCCACATTGTACCCATCTTGTGATTTTGTACTTACCTTTTGCTCTACAAAACTTCCTTTGAGAAGTGAGCTCACTGGCAGCCCATTTTCTGGATCCCCTCCTGTCTCTCTGAGGAGCTCTTTCTCCCTCAATTAAGTTTTCCTACTCTGAACCTCCACTGTTCTTTAGAATACATTCTTCAGTTTTGGGGAACATGAACGTGGCACATCTGACATCTCACAGGTTGGGGGTTAAAATACTCCTGTGTCATTTGGAGGTCCTGTATCACACTGTCTTCACTGTTCCTGTCCTGAGGCCAGGCTGTGCTTGTAACCCTTTTGGCAATGTCACATCTGCCCCTGCCCTCGCCATGGCTCCCCCAGGTCCCCAGGAGTCATGGCGTCCCATTTGGGTGAGTGCCCTTACCATGTTACACACATGTCACATGCATTTTATTACCTGATACCTAGTTGTACCCCATGTGTGCCTGTGTGTGAAGTTTTAAAAATATGTACTAAGTGTATATACTTATTTTGCTTCTCACCAGGAATCTATCTTAGGGGCAGAATGCCTGCCTGGCAAGCACAAGGTCGTGAGTTCGATTCCCAGTACCAAAAAAAAACCAAAAAGCAAAAAGCAAACAAACAAAAACAACTTATTTTGCTTCTCATTTTCTTTGGTGTTCATTTTCTTCCAATTCATCTTTTTATCCTATGCTTTGTTTTTGCTTCCAAAATGTTTCCTTTTTATGATACTTTGACTTTGGAATTCACCCAGAGAAGGTGCTGGGGCCCCTCCCACGCTGAACTGCTCCTGGGCACAGCCTGAGGGTTTCCTGGTCACCACAGGTTTCTCTGCAGGTGAAGTGGTTTCACTGACTGGATTCATTGAGACACAATGAGAAATGAATCTGGGTGTTTCCACATAAAGTGAGCTAACAAGGCAGCTGTTTTGAGGGAAAGGACCTTTTTTGTCTTTAGCTTCCCTTGTGTGGGTCTGGTATCTCCTTTCCTGGTGCTTATCTGTAAATGGCAGCTGCTTTGCCTCAGGCACAAATGCAGAAGAGAAGCTGAAACAGCCTGCAGGGAAAGGGAAAGGATAAGCAGAAGACAGGGCCTGACAGCCAGAAGGCCCTACGGGTGGGGGGTGCCCAGGAAAGCAGCCAGGGGTACCCGGAGCAGGAGCAGGGCTTGCTGGGGACCCTGGTCAGGGCCAGTGAGGTCCCCACTCAGGACACAAGAGCCGGCCCAACTTGGGGACAGTGCCATCTCCCACAAGGCTCCAAGGGAGGGGCTATACAGGGAGGGCTCCCCTTTCCTGGAGAACCTGTGAAGAAACGCGGAGGCCAGGTGAGAACACATGCAAATCCCACCAATCTCGCACATACACACACATTCTGACTTCCTGAGCTGGCCAGCCATTGTATTTAAAAGCAAACCTTAAAGTCAAGAAACAGTTGCTTGTGAAGGTGCACACGTGACCTCCACTGTCATTGGGAAGCTGAGTCCCACCACTTGGAGGACCTGGCCACTCACTTCCCTGGGCCTCAGCTCTTTATGACCTGATAAAGAATTCGGTCAGGACAGGGTGTGCAGAAGTCCAGGTGGAGTTCACTGTAGAGTGGATACAGGGAGGGTTACGCCTTCTAGTGAGATAGCGGGTGTGAGTTTGGGTGACTTTTTATGCACCCAGCAGTTACTTGTGGGGTCCAGTAGCCCTGTGATTAGGGAGCTTGTCGGTATTTTGCTCAGAAGTTACTTAGGAATTGCACAGTGTCCTCCGTCCTTTTTAGAGGGTCATATTCCCCAAGGGGTTTCATCACGTAAGGAACGCACAGAAGAAATCCAAGAGAGACAAGTGCTCCGTTTAAACCCCGGCCTGCCCAAGGCAAGAGTCCTTGCCTGGTGTCCTTGGGCTGCTGGTGGTGGCAGCCAGGAATATCATGGGCCTGTCTGGAGTTTGACAGCCAGGTGGCCAGGTGACCAGGTGTCAGGAAGGCTGTGCACAATGTGTGACCTCAGGGTGTCCCTCTGCTTGATGGGCTCACCCCAGCCCTGAGACCTAATAAATGATTGTAAATCCGGGTCTTTTTTCTTTCCTCAACTGGCAATGAACTCTGCTTTAGACCCCCCCCCCACATGTCCCTCCCTTGGGTGCCAACATCTACAGGTACCCACCCTTCCAGTGCCACCAGCAACTTGGGGAGTGGAGGCAGGAGGAGGGAAATTCGAGCCAGCTGGAGCAATGTAGTGGCTTAGAGAGACCCTTTCTCAAAATAAAAAAAAATAATTAAAGAGCTGGGGATGTAGCTCAGTGTGAAGGCCTGAGTTCAATCTCCAGTACTTTAAAAAAAATGTTCAGAAACAAAAAACTCATTAAAATTTAGCCTATTTAATTATTAATACCAGACAATTATCTTCCCATTTTTTAGCTGACTGGGAGAAGTCACATAAACAGACTGATATTTAAACTTGACTGGAAAGTCAGAGGACTATCTTTTGGAGAATTAGTAGTAGTTTGATATTGAACAGGTAAAGCTTTTCCTAAAACTTGCAGTTCTGTGTGAAAGGAAGAGAAATGCGATCATGCTCTTTTTAATCTCCTCTGCCGCGAGACAAGAATAGAGAATACTTCCTTGTTATTTGTTTTTTTTTTCTTTTTATTTTGTTGGTACATTTTATATATACATAATGATCACATTCATCATAGGGAGTTTGTACCTGTACATGATATATCTTGCTTCTTTTTTCTTCATACCCTTCTGCTCCCATCAGCCCCTCTTCCCTACTTTATTTACAAGAGCATTGTTTCCATTTTTTCTTCTATTCTTTTTTTTGTCCCTTCTTTTCTTCATTTGTTTATTTTGAGACAAGGTCTCTCTATGGAGTTCAGGCTGGCCTTGATATAGCTCAGGCTGGACTTGAACTCACAGGGATCTTCCTGCCTCAGCCTCTGAGTGCTGGGATTAGAGGTGTGTGCAGGGTCTAAATACAGATACAGGTCAGGGATGCATGGGGTGAAGACAGTGACTCACCCCGCAGGTGGACGTGCTTGCTCCTCCTCTGCTCAGACCCGTCGAAGGCCCTGTGAAGATCTGGGTTCTGGGACTGTCATCCTCATCTTGCCACCTGAACACCTTGCTCTCTGTATTTCTCTTCTTTTAGCTGATGGCTAAGGACTCAGAACACCTGGTCTCCCCCCAAATGAAGCCACACACATGACCACATGCACATGCATGCACACACCAGAAACCAAAGGAACCGGGGAGGATCCATGTCTGCCTGTTCATGGGAAGCCCAAGGGCAGAGCCTGCATCCATGGAGTGCTTTGGGGCAGAGGCTGCCTTGCAGCTGCTCAACAAGCAGTACTGGTGTCTACGTGAAAGTTATGGGATCACAGGTTCAGCCTCACAACAATTCTTGCATTCCTCCGATGTGGTAAGAGAGGCACAGCGAACACAATCCACAAATTGTGCGGTACTGGGAAAGCTCCCTATAGCTCCTGACCCTACCTGCTCGGTCCTTCTCATCAGAGGCAGCAAATGCAATCCTGTGTTACTGCTATCTTGTGGATTCTTCTAGAGACAGGACTCAAAGCATCTGAACTTTTCCTGTCTCTCTTAAGAGACTCCAATTTCTGTTGATTTAAAACAGCAAAATGGGAAAATACCAAGCAGGGGGATAGCTGGGTTGAATGGGACCTCTAGGCCTAGTTTTCGGAGGAATCTCCAAACTGATTTCCACAGTGGTTTCACCAGTCTGCATTCCCACCAGCAGTGGAGAAGGGTTCCTATTTCTCCACAGCCTCACCAGCATTTGTTATTGGTTGATTTCTTTTTTTTTTTTTTTTGGTTTTTCTCCGGTACCGGGAACCGAACTCACGACCTTGCGCTTGCCAGGCAGGCGCTTTGCCACTGAGCTAAATCCCCAGCCCTGGTTGATTTCTTAATGCTAGCCATTCTTACTGGGGTAAGGTGGAATCTCAGTGTTGTTTTAATTTGCATTTCTTGAATGACTAATGATGTTGAACATTTTCTCATATATTTATTTGCCATTTGTATCTCCTTGCCTGAGAAGTGTGTATTCATCTCCGCTGTCCATTTTTGGATTGGGTCTTTGAATTTGGAGGGGCTGAAATTTTTTAATTCTTTATATGTTCTAGATAGAAGGCTTTTGTCTGAAGGACAATCAGCTAAAATTTTTTCCAAGTTTGTGGGTTTTCTTTTTACTTTGCTGGTGATTTCTTTAGATGTGCAGAAACATCATATCACAGTGATGTATGTGCACCCATGTTCATAACAGCACAATTTGTAATTACTAAAATGTGGAAGCAACCCAAATGTCCATCCACTGAGGATTGGATAAGAAAATTGTGGTACTTTTATATAATGGAATATTACTCAGCTGTAAAGAAAGATAAACTCGAGGCTTTTATAGGCAAATGGTCACAACTAGAGGCCATACTCATAAGCGAAATAAATCAAACATACATGTGCAAGCACCGCATTGTTTCTCTAGTGTAAAGACTGAAAGAGTTAATTTAATCTAGGAGATATGATAGACATTGAGAATTGATAGGAAAGCACTCATAGGTAAAGGATAACTGGGATATGGGAAAAGAGAAGGGAAAGAAGGAGAAAGTTTGTATATATGTATATACAGGATAGTTAACACGGGTGTTCTACTGTCCTGTATTTCCTTGCTGAAAGAAACTGTCAGTGAGGCATTGGTTGATTAGCTTTGTATGTCTACATGTGTTTTCATGAGAAACTACATTGAAGATATCAATATGTAATACAATAAGCATTGTTCATTCCCTACCACTCTGTTTGTAACTCTGTAATGTCTGTACTGATCCTATGCTATTTTGTAAAATGTTGTCGGTCTGTTAGTATTTTCCTCCTTTAATTTCTAAAATAAAAAAAAATTTTTAAAAAAGAAGAAAAAAAAAAAAAAACAGCAAAATGGAACTCTGGACCTAGCTCATATCTGAAAATGCCTTCCTCCTGCAGTACAAAGAGTTGTGGACATGCTGGACCCCTGGGATGGCCAGAGCTCCCCTGCCAAGGGTGCTTCCTCTCCAGAAGGTGCCCAGCCTTTCTTCACCGCCTGGTAATTACAGCTGAATGCCAATAAATGGTAAGACAAGTGTGATTTCCTTTTATAGGCTGAAGGATATGGATGGCCCTGAATGTGAAGGGAAACTAATTTGGTTTTGTTTTTACGGCCAGAGTTTCTTATCTGCGTTGGGTGAATTACCACCAGCTTCACGGAAAAGCTGATAAGAAGGACAGGAAGAAGGGATGCTTCACTGTGCTGGGCAGTGTCCCAAGTAAACTTATATGACTAGGTCATGTTGATACAGGGGAAAGAAACTCCCAACCTGAAAGATATCTGGGATGAGTTCATGTTCTCTAAGGTTGAAGAATGAACTTTAGGAACAACAGAGGTTAAGAGAAGAATATATTTATTGAGGGACAGAAGGGGTCCCAAGTGGATTGCCAAGGACCCTGCCCTTCCTAGGGATTTTATAGAACAAATCCACGAGGTGAGGCGGGTCCAAGGTGGGGGAAAAGTGGGAAATCACAAGGTGAACATGAGATGGGACAAAACTATGGTCAGCCAATAAGATTACAAGTATAATTGTTCAGGTAAAATTGATTAAATTGGGATCAAATTGGTAAATGAGTCACGTAGCTAGTGGGCATAAATACAGTACAGGGGCTTTTCCTGTAGGGGGTTAGGTCAGTGGCTCTTCCTGGCTTTTCAAGGTGATTGCTTGAAATATCAATCCTTGATGTCCATCGCTACGGAGGTATATGGCTACATTTATTTAACCTTTTGTCTTGAGGTCTGCTCCACAATGGAGGTGCCTATCTCCCCTACACTCACAAGGTATCTTGTCTTCCATACTGGCTCCTTTGAGGGCCTAGTCCTATCTGACCATCTATAATATTTCTGTCTAACTCAGTTGCCTACAACAATCTTTATAAAATGCCATCTGTTAGTAACCCAACAGTAGATCTTTTGAGTTCTAGGAATTCATGCTCCCTGCTGGGAATGGGATACTACATCAGCATGACTGTAACAATCTTTCCATGATTACTGTGAAAGACAGAAACACCCAGGTTGGTCCATGCAGCCCTGTAGGTGGATTGTGGTGCTGAGGAGCTGTGGGCAGCCAGCAGCTCCACTGAATTTGGTGGAGCAGTGCAACGATGATAGCATTCCGGGTAGGGAGGCCACAGCCCGGAAGGCGCTGACTGTGCAGCTGGGTCTAAATTGTTAACATTAGTGTGTCCCTCAGGAAGGTCCTGTGTCCGGCCACATTTGATATGTGTTTGCCTAGGTCAGCTGTTGGAGAGTTGTGGTTGTTTTCAAATTAAACTTGAGTTTCTGAAGACAAAGCAGTCAGTAATTCTGCTACTTTTTAAATAAATTTTTTTTTCGAATTTATGTGCACACATAGCATAAAAGACCAGCACTTCACAAGGCTGGTCATTGAAAATAATCATCCCTTTCCCTTCTCTGTCCTGATTGTTAACAGCTTTTGACTCTTCTTAGTCCTTTCTGTCAGAGTTCACAGCCACATTCCTCAATCCCTGCGCTCAGTGCTGTTTTCTCCTTATAGACCACTGAGAAATTCCTGTTAAGGGCCCTGAAATATAGTTCTTTCCTCTCTTCCCATTACAGCGCAGCTTTGCTTTGGCTAAATCAGTCTTCAGTTTTCCTCGCTCTGACCCCTGAAATATTACAGATGACCTAGGTGTTGGAGCCTGGTTATCATTTATAATTGCATCTTTGGGATGCTTTCCTCCCTTCTCCACATGCCCAGGCTCTGTCAGCTGCATTTCCTGTCTTGCTGGACTCCAGTCCTGTGGGCATTGTGAGGAAGCTGCTCGCCCTGCTCAGCCTGGACTCTGGCCATTTGGCACCCCTCCCCCCACTTCCAAGACCATTGGCTTAGAAGTGCCCTCCCCTTCCTCCTGGCTGGTATCCTTCATTCTCCTTAATCACCATGCTCCGGGCCTGGCCCACACAAGCTGGGCTCACACCCAGGCTCCACCACCATACTCAGTTTAAGCTCACCCTTGGTCCTGGGTTTGAAATGCTGTGCTCTTCGTTACAGTAATAATTAATTTCTTTACGGTATAGAAATTCACAAGTGAGGGGTAACCAAGTCACTCGAAATAGAAGAGAAGCAGCACCTTGTCACGATCAGTTTCCTTTGTAAGCATCACAGTGAATATTGAAGAAAGCTTTCTAATTCTTTAAAATACAGCATTTATATGTGTATATATATATATGTATATATATATATATATATATTTCAGAAAGACAGTTTAGCCTATAAACCTGCAACATATTTCGTATTTACTTATAGGTAGACTTCCACCTTCTTTTTCTTTAAATCAAGGTAGGGTCTTGCTATGTAATTCAGGCTGGTCTCCAACTCACTGTGTAGCCCAGGCTGGCCTTGAACTCATGGCGATCCTCTCTCTCAGCTCCTGAGTGCAGGGATTGCAGGCGTGCACTACCACTCCTGGCTGACTCACTTTCTATAGTTCCACTTGTTTTCTGTGCAAAAGAAGTTTACAGTAAAGCCACACTTTGTAGGTGGCTGTTTGAAGATTGCTCTTGGGTTTATTAAAGGGAGTTTCTCTTGTGATACAGTAGCTGCCTTTCAGGAAAGGCTTCCTTTCACATCAAGTTCAAAATTTCTGAATTAGTCTGGTTTTCTCGTATTTGAAGTGTGTAAGAATACTTTTTTGTTGTTGTTGTTCATTTTTCTTACTGAGTAGCTGCTACTGTTTTGCAGAATTTTGGAAGGCAGCTATGCTCACCACTATACCACGAACGCAGGGTGTTTTGCAGAATTTTGAAAAATATTTAAAAATGACGTGCTTTCTCAGAAAGGAGCTCCACTATGGACCTTATTTCTTTTATTCCCCCTTAATGACATGACAGTCCGTCAGTCCAATAAGAGGGTAGATTTTAAGATCTGGGGTTTCAGCAATAGCGCATATACTAGAGGCCCTGGGTTCAACCCCGCAGCACTGAAAAACATAGATGTGTCCATGTGTGTGCACGCATGTGTGTGTGTGTGCTTTCTCTTGGTGTATTGCTTGGGCCCTGTATTCTCTCTTCTCATTATAAGTCTATCTTCACCCTCAGGTCACGTTTACCCATTAGACACCACCCAGGTGGTGAGCTAATTTGTGTTTGCACCAAGCACAGGTGAATGGCTTCTCCCGGTTGTTTACACCCCTCCTCCCACTGTGCTCAGAGAGACCTGTCAGTGCCTGCGTTGGAGGGGTTAAGGGGGACTGTGGGCTGGGAGGACGCAGGGACCCTGCGATGGCAGAGCCATGGGACTGTCACAACTAGAGGATGAGGGTCAGGGCCAGGCCTGGAGGGGCTGTTTGGAGGCCACAGTGGCATAAAGGGTCCTCGAGTGTCAGAGCGAGGGGGATGGAGACTGTGCATGCGCGCCCCTTGCGGCCACTGCTGGAACTTGCGTATTTGAGGGCTCAGGTTGTCACCAGCAGCCTCCTCCCCTGCTAGCTTGCCCTCGAGGGCTGGGGAAGGAGTTTGCCCCTGGAGAAGGAGTTCACCGAGTCTTTGCTTTTCCTTCCTCCTCAACAACCTAGAGCAGCTCTAAGTTCAAACCGGCTTTTGGTAAAATGCAAATGTCATTTCCCCATTCAGAAATAAAGTAATTCTGAAACTCTTTTAAAAACTCTCCTCTGGGGCCAGGGATATAGCTCAGTGGCATAGGTGCCTGCCTGGCAAGCGCAAGGTCCTGAGTTTGATTCCTGGTATCTAAAAAACAAAACAAAAGAAAACAAAAAACCAAAAGACTCTCCTCTGATTTGTTAAGTAATATCAACTGCAGGAGTTTTTTATGGTGGGAACTGGCATTTGGAGTTATGATTTTGTCAACTGTTACCTTATATGATAGCAATCACCATGGCCTGTTCGGAACTGGCTTTCTTCTGCCTCTGAGTCGAGGTGACTGGACACACCTCTGAGCACAGGCTTTGGGGTGTCCTGGCTGGGTTGTCCCAGGGTGGAACGCTGGCCTGGTGTGCACAAAGCTGGGGGAAGAAGACTGTGCCCAGTGGAACCACAGTGGAGCCCAGGAGAGCGAGTGTGGACCCCAAGTGGTTGTAGACCCCAAGCGAGCGAGTGTGGACCCCAAGTGGTTGCTCTGACCCAAACCTGTCCAGTCTGTCCAGTCTGTCCACCACATCTGCCTTCATGTATCCGAGCTCACTGCTCTCCTTGATCCTCCCTGGGCCTCACTGGGCAGAGGGGCCAGAGATCTCTGGTCCTTGGGATGTTTGGCAAAGGGCCTTGGGGCAGGTGTGTGACCCAACATAGGGAAAGTTGTGGACAGGCAAGGGAAATTAAAGGGCCTCAGTGAGGTTCCTGGTAAATAAAGAGTTAAACCCCTGCTAGAGAGACAGTAGCTAAGAAAAACAGAGCTGGTAAGTCCGCCTGGTTCACTTCTTGCCAAGCCTCCATCTCTCCTCCCTCATCTCCTATTAAGCACAAAAGAAGGAAGCAGGGAGGCCAGGGAGATAGTTCAGTGGCACAGCTCCTGCCTGGAAAGCATGAGGTTGTGAGTTTGATACCCGGCACCAAAAAAAAACAAAAAACAGAAAGAAAGAAGCGGGGGCTATGTTACAAAAAAAACCCTCACACCTATAAATACTCAAACACCTATACATAAGCACACACATATACATTATTCTCACCATTTTAGCACGCTAAAATGCACATGCATCCTTCTCACTAATTCAGCCTGGAATGTAGCTCTGCTGTAAATCTCACACAAGCCCCTGGACAGCACAAGAGACCACAGAAGTGCTTATGCAAGAATGTACATGTGGGCAGTGGAAGGTCAGTGGCTACATCAGGGGTCTCAAGCCCAAAATAGCCCATTGAGTTATAGCGACTCTCAAGGGGAGAGCCCCTTTCTGGCCACCTAATGAAAGGGGCTGAGAACAAGGAACCCTGAGTTCCAGCTCTAGGGACCCTACCTTACTCCAACAAGTTAGCTATCTAGCTCCTTATTTTCTCTCCTTTTCCCAGTAAAATGATTTTGTCTCCCCATTTCTTTTCCCTTTCCAATT